GTGTGTGTGTGTGTGTGTGTGTGTGTGTGTGTGTGTGTGTGTGTGTGTGTGTGTGTGTGTGTGTGCTGGGTTTAAGATCTCCTAGCAACAAAGACTGCCGTTTCTAGAAGCAGGCAGGTGAGTTTCTACATGACAGATGGCCACACACACGCATGTGTTTTCATTTCTTCTGCCTGATTAGAGCTCAGCTCAGGTGGTTTCCATTTGTTAGCTCTGCATGCTGCTCATCACGTAGAGGCATCAGCAAGGAGATGTTCAAACATGAAGAACTGACTAGGCTGCACACACCTGGTAACTATACGTTCATTATTTGTAGTTTTTAGCTTTGGAAGATGTGAAGACATCATGTGTCCAAATAAACACAAAAACTGTAAAATCAAACTTTATACTTCAGCTTCAACTTTATGAGTTCAAGAATCAAGAATCGTTTGTCATTCATACACAACATCAAGATGCAATGCAGAACGAAATTTGCAGTTTTGAACATCCGTCTGGAGAAATACAACCACATGACAGACACGGGGGAACGAATGTCCAGGGCCCTGCGCAACGTTGTGCGCTACCTTTTAGTTAAGAATACACACAGACATAGGAAGGATGAGTTAAAAAAGAGCTTTGATCCCGTGTTTAATACAAAAACAGAAAACACATAAGCATCATACAAAAAAAACTACTCTGCGAATAGGAGCAGAGGCAGCTGAGTGGGGGGCGGGGGGCGGGGGGGGGCAGGTGACATCGAGGACAAAGTGCCGGGACCAATCAGAGAGCTCCAGAGTCTGACCGGTTATTATCAGCCGAACACAGTTCTCTGTTTAGAGTTCAGTTCTCTGTTCCAACCAACATGGCCTCGGACTGGGACCAGACACAAGTGGGGATGGGGGAGGGGAGGGGGGAGAATCGAGGCTTCCACTCACACATATCATCCAGGGAGTTTTATCAGCCTGTGACAAGGTCACATCTGTGGGGATCCAAAGATGGAATAAGTTCTTTAGAGCAACAGCAGACTTCTTTTCTCCACTGATTTAAAGTCTTAACTGTGCCTCTGTGTTGCGAAAATGCCAATATTCCAGATTAGTTACCATCTCGCCTCTCCCGTATGAACTTCACCCAGATGTTGCCCTCACTCCTCGCGCCGCTGGGCTGCGATCCTAGTTAGAACCACATCCAGTTTGCGATTCAACTCTCCCACCATTTGAGTCTGTGCGTTCACCGAATGAGAGATCCCATCCAGGGTCACTGGCAGCTTCTCACAGGACCGAATCGCCGTCAGTATCATTCCCAGAACTCCTCCACAGCCCATCAGCAGGAATCCAATTATCATGAATCCAAATATGAAAACATCTTCAACATCCTCAATGGAAAGAGGTGCGAGGCAGATCAGGTTCCAA